CATTTGGCTGTAATTTTAAGCAACCAAGAAATTTCTTTGAGTTAGCAATTCAGCTCACTCTTGGAAAAACTTACCCAGCATAAGGCTGCGAGGATTTTTTTGTCTGGGGTCCAACATCTGTAGCACTGGATTATAGATTGTTTCTAAAATAATCTTAAATTGATGGATCATTGCTCCTTCCATTTGGACTCTGCAAAAAGTAGCTCTGGCATTTCCTCTCCTTTTTATGCTGTAAACTGTATATCATCCTTTTAAGCTCTTGCCAGAAAAATGAATTCTTACCCACTTCAAGATTTTATAAACTTGAATTTTACTTAGCGGTATAAGAATTCCTTTTACTATGAATATATATCAAGTGCTATTTCATGAACAAATTCATAAAATCATAATTATTTTTGTCAGGCTATTTTAAACTAAACAGTATTAATAAATAGCCCTTTTCAAGAGTTGCTCTTTGGGGTCTTTTTCCTATTAGTCAAGTGTTCACAGGCACTAAACGTTGAGCTCTTCACGTTGTTTAGAATCAGGTATCTTTGCTCTAAGGATTTCTTAGGAGTAAATTAATGGTAAGTAAACAAACATGTAGAAGAATTTCCAAATATTGATCTAAAGTCCAAATGTTTTTGCACCTTCTTACCCATTCATCAATTCACTGTATTTCACTGTATGTTCATCTCTCAGCCATGTCTTTGCCCTCAGTTTTCTCCCTCAGATGTGTTCTTTTGCTTCTTGGATTTTTTATTATTTTTTTTGGGGGGGGGGATCATGGTAGTGGAGTGTCTTTTCTTTGCTGAAATCAGGTTAAATTGCAGATCGAAATTTACAACACTGTCATAGAGTCTAAGGCCTAATGAAAGCTAAGCCCTGCCAGAGGGCTGGAACTCTCCAGAGCGTGCCAGAGCCTGACCTCTTTGAGTTAGCTACTCCATAGTTCTGAAGCCAGGGTGCCATAGGAAAGGGTAAAATCCAGAGCATTTTCAGACTTATTTAACAGGCCCTTAGCCAAGCAACTAGAGCAACATTTTTTTTTTAATATGGCTCCTCCTTGTCACTCAGGAGAATCTACAACATTCAAGCAAGTTAGGGAACACAGGAGTCACACAAAGGTAAACAAAGGTACTTTCTGCAGGACTTGTCAGAGCCTTTATTATGCAGTATGAATTTTTAAGAAAAAAATGGCACACAGCTTCCTTCAAACTTATTTTACTCTGGAGTGCTATTTTTATGAAATCTATCACAGAAATGGTGTTTTGCAAAACTCACTTTCATGAAAGCCAAACCCCTAGTATTTGGTTTCTAAATCAGACTCCCCCTCCACCTCCAATAATACAACCCAACTTTATCTTAAGCAACTGGAAATACAACTTACTCTGTTTGACAGTTTTCCACCTTAGATACTAAATTGAATTTTTTTCGTCATGCAGTGCTTTTATTTCTTTCAATAGCCTCTGTTTCTTCTCTACATATGTTTTACTAGTAGAAATCTTTAGAAATAATGGCACTTGGAATGCTAAGCTGATCCCCACAGTGAGAATAGAATTATGATATCCATTGATTTGAGGCACACAAAAAAAAATACACCCAAAACTAAGTTTTAAATAATTTTGTAGGATAGTATTCCACCTATTTTTTTAAACAGGGGTAGACTTCCTATGTGGTCCTAAATCAACCACTTAACTATTTAAGAGTCTATTGAAGTAGAAAGTAGGTAAGTTCACATTTGAGTAATGAAGTTTATAATAGTAGCATTAATATGTTTTCCTAGACATCCCCCATGTCTATTTCCACTATTAAAAAGGGATGTAATCTAATTTAAATGTTAATATGAGAATATATATATTGCCTATCTACATGAATCATATAGTTTAATAGTTGGTAACTTCCTCCCCAAATTAGTCTTCATAATTAGCATCTTTTCTAACCTAAAGATTGATTAATTTCTCAATACACCAACTACTAGTTAGTTGATATTTATATATTACACACCCACAAGCAAACACACATTTTGTAACAGTGAATAAGCAAGATAGCTTATATTTTACACAATACACATCCACATTTTCTTATTTTTTTCTTAAATACATTTAATTTTTCTAAGAGTTATTATAAGAACTTGATTTTCCCAACTTAGAAAACAATTCCAACCTAAGAATTTAACCTTCAGTAATGCAAATATAACAAAAATACAAAACTATATGTTATTTAGTAAACTCTACTTATAACAACGTTATTTTAAAACATTCATAAGTTAAAGCTGGTTTTATTTAAATTGATTAAGTGTGTAGAGAAATTGACACAAATGATACAGGTTTGAGATGGAATGATTGTTCCATGTTTACACGTGCATAAAGGCACAAAGTAAACATTTGTCCACAGAAATCTTAGAAAACTGATGCACTGGCAGAAATCCACTGCCTGGATTCTCTTCCATGACCTGCCAGCCAAGATAGAGAACCCTTTTCCCAAGGGGGCTATGACATGCAGCTCTAGCCTCTTGCTGGCCATCCTTGTTAAACTCGATTTTGGTTTCTTCCTCTAGCTTTGGCCAGACCTTTGCTGAGAAGGAAAAAACATAAATATCTCTGGAGAAATTGAAAAAGGTCTAATCCCATTTCAGCCTCTTTCTCTCCCCCAGTGACTTGGGTCCCACATGCTGCTCTGTCTGGTATGCTCCAGAGAGCTAATTACCTCTTCACGCCTCCACTCACCCAAGTTCCTCCAGATGCCACGGACTCTCCCAGCTCCTACCCCATAACCTCCTCACCGCCACGACTACCCCTCCAACAGTGAGCTCTTGGACCTCCCTTGATTTCTAGCCTCACCCTTGTGAGTTTGGAGCAGTCTGTCTCCCAGCTATCCCAAATCTCCCTGTTTCTGCTGCCAACTGAATTTATAGCCATTATTTAGTAGAAAATATATTTTTAGTCCTCAGTCTATCCTTATGTTGTCCCTTTCTCCTGGACTCCGGGTCCTAACGTTTTTCTACCCTGTTGGCCAAGGTGCTTTATATCAGCCAAGATGCTTCAAACTACCAATACTCTCTTGCTTTTGATTCTACCTTCTCCATGCCCTTTGACCTCTGAGCCCTGTCTCTGCTAAATAAATCTCATCAACTTTGACCTTTCTACCAAAGAGCGATGTTGTTAAAGCAACTTTTACCTAATTAATTGATTGGTTAGTTATGTTATCTCTCTACATATTTACCTTTAACAATTTGTGTGTGAGTGTGTGTGTGTGTGTGTGTGTGTGTGTGTGTGTTGTGTGGTGGAGTCACTGAAGGGATTGGTATCATAAAATGGTATTACTTTATAACCAAAAGAGAAAACCTGTTTTCCTTCACTGTGAATCTTACTAATAATTGTATAATAAAGAGGTCTGGGAGAAGCTCAAGAGAGTTCTTAAATCAAGGTGAATAGGTGTGTTAAAGGGAAGCAAAGGCCCACTCCATTTGCCCCTACTTCAGGGTAGGGGGATGTTAAAAATCATTCTACTGACTTTTGGTAAATGTAGCAGCAATATGGCATATTTTCTTTTTGTAATTTATCTTTATAGTTGAAAGTATTACAGATGTCCCTTTCTTTTCCCCCCATTGATCCCCTCCTCCCCATTCGAGCCCCATCCACAGGCCTTCACCACACTATTGTCCATGTCTATAGGTTATGCATATATGCATATAAATTATTTGGTTAATATCTTCCCCCTCCCCTTCCCTCTGAGACAACAAGGATGGACTTGGAGAGTATTATGCTAAGTGAAATAAACCAGTCAGAGAAAGACAAATATGATATGATCTCACTTATATGTAGCATAGTTTCTTATACTCCAAAGGAAACTTTAAACTTGAAGTCTCCTATAATTCACTATACAATAAAAATATGGCAATCTCTTCCAGATATGTAGCCATGGCCAATAGTACTCACAAGTACAAATGCTCTCCATTTATAAAAAGGAGGCAAGATGTCTTGAATATTCAGTCCAAACTTAAGGGTCATTTTGCCCACAGTAAATCTATTGTAACCAACCTGTCCATCACAATACTAGAATGAAGAATAAAACTTCAGACCCTCTTATGGAATTATCTAATAATCATGTAGAGGATGGCAAAGTGAAAAATCAGCCCATTTATTAAGCATAGGCATCATTAACATACACCACGGCAATGAAGTTTCCACAAGCACTGGAACCAGGCTACCTGGATTTGAACCTCAGGTCCCTGTGACATCAGACACTTCACCACCCTTGGCCTCATTCGTAAAATGGGCTTAATAATACAAGCTACCTCATGGGAGGGTTGTGAGGATTAAATGAGATAATAAAATTGCTTAGAAAAATACTTGGTTATTATTGATATTGACCAGGTCAAGGACATTTTGTTCACCATGATCTTGTGCTGTGGGGAATCACAAATGGATGGCTTTGGTCCTTCTCAATCTTTCTCGGGAGAGAGAAGGCATAGCCTTTAGGTCACAGAAGTGGTACCTTAGAGAGTTAGGTTTGTGAAAGGATGGAAATCGAGGAAGGCTGTCTGCCTCCTCTGACTGGGGCCTGTGTAGGCCCACTGCTCATACACCCTTCAAAGGCTGAATCCTAGTAAATCTCCACAGTAATTTTTGCTGTCTAGTTTATTCACATGTTTATTTCACAAATATTCATAGAGTACCCACAATGGCTAGTTACCAAGGGGATAAGAAGTTGTATATGGCAATGAATTCTTGCCCCAAAGTCATCAGTTCTGTTTCCATACAGTAAAGCATAAAGAGTAGAAGATAAAATAGTTGTGGTTGACATAGTTTTTCTGCAAACTGAAAAAATTTTTCTTATGTTGTATTCCCTGTTTTGCCAAAGCCAGTCAGCACCCTTACTTTCCTTCTTTAAACTGAAATTTAATTTTTAAAAAATAATTCAAAAACACTGAACTTTATCATTCAAAAGTAGCTACAATTTTACTTCAAACTCCAATGGAATTTTTTTTCTCTTTCCTTCTCTCTCTCTCTTCACAGGATAGTGGACAAAGCCTCCAAGAACCTCATGTCCACCCAGAGCTTAGGGATTGTATTTGGACCCACCCTTCTGCGAGCTGAGAATGAGACGGGGAACATGGCGATACACATGGTCTACCAGAACCAGATAGCTGAGCTCATGCTGAGCGAGTACAAGAAGATCTTCGGCTCGGAGGAAGACTGACAGACAAGACAAGTTACTGAATATGTTCACATCTGTCTCGATGCCTAATATTTTTACATTTCTGTAAACATATTTCTGAAATATTTTTTTTTCCTTTCAAGCAACAGATGCCTCATTTTGAGAAAACTTAATGATGATTTTGTGTTTAAGTTCCAAACATTTGAATAAAATAGTTGACAATATTTGCCTATATGTGTTCTGCATTAACCCCTTCAGTGCTCTTATAGAGAGGATAGCACATATCCAAAGAAATCATTTTAATGCTGCTCCCAGGCATTGGGTGTGTGCTTTTGTGTGTGTAGATATGTGAGTGAGTGAGTGAGTGAGTGAGTGAGTGAGTGAGGTTGAGAGTGACCCTTCTCCTTACCTGGCTGCCTCGTGCATGCTCCCACACTCTTACTTATATGTGAGAAGAACCAAAACATGAGGGGAGGCAGAAATTAATAATTTTTAAATAGAACAAATGAGGTCAGGTTCGTAATGAAAATAGACATATTGGATTGCTCAAGAACATTTTTGTATGTGTAAATATAGTCTGATTATCCTTGGTGCTATGTAGTGGAATGTATAAATTCTTGTTGAATGGAATTTTTTCTGAAGACAAATGACAGTTCAAAACATTTACCATTGGATATGCTCTTTATATATACTATTTGCAGCCCCATAAACATACTGTCTTATAAATTAGAGGCAAAATTAGTGCCCTGCAATTTTCGTCTTTATATTATACAGGAATTGCATGACTGCTCATTTTTAATGTTAGCATCCATTTTGAAGCTTCATCAAACTGTATATCCTCCTTTTCCCTGGCTATGTCATTTTATGTAGGATTTTTATTATGCTTCTGAGGATGCTTTATTGGTGAATTACATTAAATCAATCTCAAAAAAAAACTTTTTTAGAAGGCATTTTTTCAAATGCCCTAAGAATTCCTTGACTAGACTTGGATTGCTTTCTCCATTTGATGGTTAGTTTCCCTTGTCATAGATAAACAAAAGGATAACTGTCTAGAATGTAGCAAACATTGTTTTCTTTTGAAAAGTATGTTCTAGCTGAACAGATCTTAGACCCAGCTTTGTGAATATAGTCTGCGGATAAAAATGTAGACTTATGTTTGACAGCTTTTTAATCAAATTCAAACGGAATAAATAAAACTAATCCAGTGCGATAAAGAATAAGTCTAGTTATCGATTTGTTCATAAAATGAAAAATAAAGCATGTAAATAAAACGCGCGAAGCACGAATCCAAGAGCAAACACTTACAGCAATAATGAGCTCAGTGGCATAGGCTGCCTGCATGGATGGAGTATTCGGCAAAGACAGTCTGCTCAAGGGATAGCTGGAGGTACAGGCAGCTCCGGCAGCCACAGAACTGCCTGCAGAGGAAGGAGAGACTTCCCCTGCCCTCCTGAATGTCTTCATTTTGGCAATGGCACCATTGAGTCAGCTTGTGGCCAAGAACAGAGAAACAACCACAATAAATGCTAACGCATGGCTTTATCAAGCGGGGCATATACACATACCACAAAGCCAAGGAAAATCACATGAGGCAGAACCCCGTGATCTAATGTCACTGGTAACAGCCTGGCCAGTGTGCCTCAGTGGTTGAGCCTCAACCTGTGAAACAGAAGGTCATGGTTTGATTCCTGGTCAGGGCACATGCCTGGGTTTCTGGCTCCATCCCTAGTAGGAGGCAGATAATCAAGATTCTCTCTCATCACTGATATCTTTCTCTCTCTCTCTCTCTCTCTCTCTCTCTCTCTCTCTTTCTCTCTCATCTCCCCCGCCCCTCTCCTTTCCTTCCTTTCTAAAATCAATAAAAACATATTTTAAAGTCATCGGTAACAGGAAGCTAACAGACCTGCCAGCTTTAAGCTCTTCTTATATTTAAAGTTGTACTTACGCCTTTCAGAAAAACAAGGAGCCATGGAACAAGAGTTTCTGGCATTCTATTTCAAGTCCTCATTTCCATGACAGTCCATAGTCTCAATTATGTCTTCTCCAAGACTTTAATTGCTTCTCTTTTCCAAAGGGAGAGGGATAGGGTTAGGTTCCCAGAATTAAAATCTTATCCCTTCACGTGTCCATCTTTAAAGTCATTCTGGGAGCATCAGCCAGAGGAAGCAGCACCAACAGCCAAAGAGAAGTGGCACTACCTGCTCCGAGCGGGGACTCCCAGCCCCTCGTCTCCACAGCTTTCCAGATTTATAATCTTCAAACGCATCAGCTTCTGGATTTTCAATCTGATGGGATTTAGCCGGATTCAAACCCCAGCTGCGCCCTGTCCCTGCCTGCTAAGGGCCTTTAATCAGAGGCTGTGCTTCCTCTCTGGGAAAAGACTATTCCACGGTGCTGAGCCAAAGTGCCCGTCACAGGGCCTGACATATACACACTAACGGCATAAAGAGGCTTAGACCAAAAGGTCATTAGATTCCATAACGTCTCAAAGACAACAACCATGGTTATGTCAACTAACTGTTCCAAGTTTAAAAGCCAGGATTGTAGGTGTCGTTGGTTAACTCACTAAGGTATGAGATTTTATAAAACTGATTTTTGTTCTCCATCCAGAAAACATGAAAAGCCAATGAGTATTTCTTCCTCATCTTGCTTGAGCCAGGTGCAAGCCTAGGCACTACTGAACAAATATAAAATAAGGCGGATGTTCCTACCCTCTGTACTTTCACAGTCCAGTAAGGGAGACGATCATCTAAGCCAGTGGTTCTCAACCTTGGCTGCACATTAGAATCACCTGGGAATCTTTTTAAAATCCTGATTTCTGTGCCTCATCCTCCGGAAATTCTGTTTCTTTGTTATGGGGGTTGTGGCCCCACCCCATAACAAAGAAACAGAATTTCCGGAGGATGAGGCCCAGAAATCAGGATTTTAAAAAGACTCCCAGGTGATTCTAATGTGCAGCCAAGGTTGAGAACCACCGTCTTATAAGAACTCTTGTGATTATATTGGTCCCACCTGGATAATCCAGGATACTCTCCCCATCTGAAGATCCTCAACTTAACTACACCTGCAAAGCCTCTTTTGCCACATCCTATGTAATCCTATATAATAAAAGGCTAATATGCAAATTGTCCCCTCAACTGGGAGTTCGACCAGGGGGCAGGGCCAGTAGGCCAACCACCCATGGCCCCTCCCCCTGGCCAGCCAGGCCTAATTGGCCCCAAGTGGGGCGGGTGGGAGTGTCGCTGGGAAGGTAAACCTTTTAATCTAATCCTGACCAATGAATAAGATTAACCAGACAAAGGAAAATGTAGAAGACATACTAAGAAGCAGGAATGACATGAACAGAATTGTGGAAGACCCACTGTCTCCAAGGGACAGTTACAGTTCTGTGAACAGAGGTTGTAGTGCAGGCCTGGCCATTTTGGAGGATGGAACTGAAGAAAAATGTTGGGGTCAGATTTAGGTCATAATAAAATATTTAGATTTAATCCTGTAGGCAAAAGAAATCCAATGGAAGCTGTAAAATGAGAAAGCCATGGTGAAACTTTTTTAGAAAAAGAATCTCTAAATTCAGCAGAGGGCAGAAGAAACAAATTACTTTGAGGCCCCTGGCATTTTCTTGTGTATGCATTTGTATGTTTGTGTGTATGTACATGTGTGTACACATACACAATTTCTAGGAATGAAATGATAAGCTTGTACTCTTAGGAGCATTTCTATATAATCATGAGCAAATATTTTCAGAAATTATTACCTTAAGATAATGGAAGCACAAGTACAAACAGTCTCCCTGGAAAACCAAGCTGGTTAGTACATCCCATTTCAGCATGGACTCCTGTGGACTCGCTCAGGACATGCGGGAGTTTGAATTTGAATTTGAATTTGAAAGCTTCTTGGAGATGGTATGTATTTTGCCCTATATGTTGAGAGTCTGACTACTTAGCATGTGCCATATGACAGGATCACCATGCCAGAGCTAATAATTGAAAGCCATATGATGGTTCTCCCTATCCAATTAGAAAACAAAGGATCCAATTAAGAAAAATTAGAAAAGCAGTTAAAAGGGAACAATCACTTGCCAGTGGTGCTGTCCTTACAGTTTAACACAGTCAGAAATGGACCTGCACTTTTCCTTTTCACGTTTATTTTCGTGAATTGTAAGTTAATCACCCTGTCAATTCCTAATTAAAAGGTCCTGAAAAGATTTTCATCCAAAAGGATTGTCACTAAGAATTCTGGGTCAAATTGCTCTATTGTCAAAAATAAAAAATAACATCAAAATAATATCAACTCTCTCCTGGGAAAATGAAGTCTTAATACAGAACAACAAGACTTTCTTCAAACATAATAATCACATATGATTTCCTCAATTAAAAGGTTTCATCTTATCTTTAGAACATAGATGGATATTTTTCTACTTTTTTAAAATCAAGGTTTGCAAACTTAAATGCTTACTAGGGGCAAGCAGGTAACCTAGTGAGTCAAGAGGAGCAGGCGTAAGGCATCATGAAGTGGGAGCAGCCGGAAAGACTTAAGCTCACCCCTGGCCAAAAGAGTTGGCTTCTACTCATTCCAGTGGATGTTGTGCGAATGTGGGCACAATTTGCCATACCTTCAGACCTTTCATGGGAAGCCAGAAATTCAGAAACTAATGTGAAACCTGATTTGTAAGGGCACCCAATAAAACACATCTGAACAGGCTCAGCTTAAGCACCTTCATTTCTGTGACCTCAAGTGTTATACCTTCCATGTTGCAAAGCCCGGTCCCTAGCAAAGGGTAGCCCGTGAGCAAATGGTGGAGATATGTGAATGAGCCAAAGCGATGTGTACAAGGGAAAACCAGGCAGCACTTGCTGTTTATGTCCTGTACAAATTGTCCACTTTCTCTGGGTGTCAGTTTTCCCATCTATAAAAATAGAATAATACTAGCCTTGCTTCTTAGAACTATCTAGTGGAATTATATGAAGAAAATTAAAACATGAAACTGTATGTTGTTCCTGCTGGATATAGATAATAGACTTCTAGCTTACTGACTAACAATTAGCTTTATGATCTTCCAAAGATGATGAAAAGGGAGACTGGAACCAGACTTTAAAAATCCTCAAACACCATTCCAGGAAGTTTTATATTAAATTTATACTCAATCTTGAGACCCTAAAGATTGTTTAGCAGGGGAGTGAGTTTATCAGAGCTGAAAAGATTCCCTAGGCAATTGTATGGAGTAGTGGTTGAAGCAAGGAGAAATTATAGGCACCATTGCCAGACGGAAGAGTATTATCATAGCACTGTTAATGCAGATCTGAATTCAGATGGTGACAATGGATATGGAAATGAACTCTATGAAGCATCATCCTACTGAACTTCTGAGCTTCATGTACCACCTCTTGATAATGACTACTAAGTGCAAAGGACCATTTGTTGTCACACAGAGCTCCCACGGCAGGCCCATTTCCAGCTGAATGGCTGAATTGGGGTAGGGGTTGACTCTGGTACTCTGACAATGAGTTGGCATATGTCAGTAACCATCTTAAGATATCTTGATCAAGTCATGCCCATATCAGATAAGTATGCATGCTACCACCTTCTGCTTCCAGATGATCATGTGGTCATTTCCATTGTACCCAGCTCTGATTTCTCCCTTCTTTCTCTTTGGGCAATACTGTGCCTATAGTCACCCAAAAGAACACCAAAAAAAATTAGTCCTGGAAAGACCAATTTTGACAGACTAACATGTATTGGGTGCTTGTTATGTGCCAAGAACTGTATTTTATATGCATTGTTTTATTTAATCTTCACAACTCTGAGGAGGGAGGTATTATTATTATCCTTGATTTATACTTCAGGAAACTAAGGGGGCGGGGATGATGGAATTACCCAAGTTCATGCAGTTAGTAACTGTCAGGTTAGTATTTGAATCTAAATAATATGGCTCCAAAGCCCCTTGCCTTAATCACTATACCATCTGCTCACTGGATTAGGAAAAGGAACTGAAGAAACATAACAACTTAAATATTTATACTTCATATGTGGGTACCTGGTTACTCTCCTGTTAAAACACCTGATGAAAGTTTTACTTTCATACTGATTTTCATAAAAGAACAAAAGGGATACTAGATATTTCCCCAAAGAAATACAAAGAACCTTTGTTGTTAGGGGTAGATGGCTAAATCACAGTCATGTTTTTGCTATTATAATTTTAATATTCATGTACCATTTC